CAGAGAGAGCGCAGCTGCAGAGGAGAGAGGAGGACTTGCGCGGAGAGCTCTGGAGGCGTCGCCCCGCCGCAGCGGAATCTGGCCTGTGCAGGTCCCAGGGATCTGGAGAGGGCAGGAGTCCTTGGCGCCCGCCCCGCAGCAGCCGCGCCCATGGGCCGCGCAGATTGGGTCCCGAACGCCCGGGACTGCGCTGCTGAAGGCCGGCGCTCCCCGAGTGTGGCCCGGCTGCACGTGCAGGGCTAAGTCGGCCGAGGGGGCGCAGGGCTGGGCCGGCGGGGAGCCGAGGCCCCGCGGGTGCGGGGGCGCGCGGCCGCCTTCTGGCAGCCAGGCGCGCGAGGAGGGAGCCAAGACGCAGGGACGCGCAGGCCTCGGGGCGCAGGGCCCGGCCCGGGGGACGCGAGCCAAGGTCTTGGGCTGATTGTAATTGGGTAAGTGTTCATCGGCGAGAGGAGGTGTAATGAATTCTTTCTCGTGTCTTCTTTTTGTACGAAGTGCCGAGATTTTTTTTTTTTCCTGCCTGCAAAACCGGAGCCTATCCTGATCTGTATTTTCCTGCATCCATTCGTGAAAGCTTGACGCTCTGACATCATCAGGCCTTCCCAAGTGAAGTTGCTCACTTGGTCTGAGAAGCCTTCATAGGGTCTGATGGGACTTCTCCATCAGGTCCCCAGAGCCCTGAACTTGTCTTAGGACGTATGAGAGTGCGTGTTGCAGGAGCAGCTTCGTAATAATAACCCTTGAGTGACCTCATCTGTGTTTGCCAGAAATAGACCAGAAAACCAGCCTGCGGTTTAACCCAGCAACAGTGCTTATTTCGGATAATCCTTTCAAATGGAAGCGCGACTTTCCGAAAACTGAGATTGATCCTGCGGGTCTACTGTGAGGAGTTGTGCTCTCTCACAGGTCCAAGGATAACATTAGAGAAGCATGCGGAGGCAAGCAGGGTTTATTTAAAAAGGGGTGGCATAGACTTCTCCCGGCAGGGAGAAGGGGGCTATGGCTGGTATCCTGGTATCCCAAGAAGCGGTGGTGTTCTTTTTACAAGCCTTAGGCTTCCTTTGTTCTCCTGCCCCCTTTCGCTAATCTCTCTCCTTCCTGCATACTTCTGTGACTAGGCCCAGGGGATGCTCAGTGGGTTGGCCAAAAGGAGAAAAGCAGACGTGCTGGAGGGGCCAAGTTGGAAAGATCTGGACGGGAAGGGGGCTTAATTAACAACTCCCTGTAGGGAGGGACAATCCCTGGGACAGGTTACCTTAGCAACTGGTTGGAGCCAGGGCAGGTTATTGTCATAAGGGTGGAGGAAAGGCTCTGGAGGCATTAGCATCTCCAACTTCCAGGACTCATTCAAATTGGCTTCCTTCATCTGACCTGACTCGATTTACGTATCTATACTGACTGCCTATCTAATTCTGGCTTCAAGATCACTGCCTAACATTTTAATTTCTACAGGACAATGTGGCATAGGTTTGTGGGTTATCAAGAAGCAAACTAAAAAGTAAAAATAGATGATTAATCATTTACCTGATAGCTGGAATGGAGTGACTCCTGGAGATTGGTTCTCGGTTTTCACTTTGCAATACAGTTCAGTGACTGCACTTCAGTCCACACTGAGGGAACTTAGGTCTTGCACCCAAAATAAACGCACTGACAAGCAATAGTTAATTATCTCTAAAATGTAAGCAATAGAGAAAGGAACTAGCATAAAATTGTCACATTTCTATGCACAATGTAATATAACTTTGTTAGATATTCCACATTTAAGTTTTTAAAATATTTACCAGTTAGAATGCATTCTGTAAGTTTGTACACTTTCTAAGACTGTATAGAATGTAGACGTTGATCGTTTGCAAGGGATTAAAAAGTGTTGAATGTTATGCATGGAGTAGCAGTTCAGTGCTTGATTAGCACATAGAGAAACCTAATGGCCAAAACAGAACACAAAAGAGGCAAGACATATTATGAGTTCTGTTTTGAATTCACAATGTTAGTAATTTGTGGTTCCTGGAGAGATATATGCATGTCAGTATCCTGCATCCTTGTCCCAACTGCTTTCCTGTCTTCTTGGTGACCTTTGGCAGTCCTTGACCTGTGGGCTCAAATAAATTCCTCAAATAACATCCAGTTTCTTCCCCAATTTGTGGTCAAAATTTGTAGGTTATTACCCTCAACCCTGGAGTTCAAGAATTTGCACAGAAAGACATGAGGAGGTGAAGAGGAAGAAAAGGTTGCAGAAATGGAGTGGAATTAGTGTTTTAAAGTATCCATTTGATAGAAACCCCTGTGCTCACTGCAGAGCTTCCCATTCCTGCCCTGCTTGCTCCACACCTCAGACCCTCAGCTACTTTCATGTGAGCAGGACTGATGGTTTTAGAAAGGATTTGCTGTCACATGCAGAGAGACATTAACATGTCCATTTTGAAATCAGTTTTCTTCTTAGTTTGAAAAGACTCCACCCACCCCCCCACACACACACAAAAAAAAAAAACAACAAATGAATTTTATAGAGGAAGAAATTATTCTTCATCGAAAACAAAACAAACTGGGCATGCTTCCAGTAAGTGCATTTTTGCTTCCAGGTTGCACAAAAGGCAGATGTGCTATGAGCAAGAAGAATAGTGGTAAAGAAGACTAATGGAGCAGAGGCTTCATTTAGTCATGAAAGTCATTTGGGAGAGGTGGATAGAAGCTATTCAGAGAAGAGCTTTGACTTTCTATCCTCTCTAGAAAACTTTAAAATTCTCTAGAAATGTCCTGAATTTGGAGAATTTTTTAAAATGTCTGGTCCCAACATGATCTTTGTGGTAAGTATGAACATTCAGAGTAATTATAGAGTAAAAGGTTTTCTGTGTTTGAGTGACTCATTGAATCTTTGCTTATTGATTCTTTCAATAAACGTAGAAAGTATTTCTTGTGTGACAAGCATTATTTAAGATGCTACAGACAAAAAGATTAATAATGTGTCAAGTTCAAAATTTTAAAATGCCCAAAGAGATCTATTTAATACAGAATGCTAAGGAAGGTACAAGGAAACAACAAGAACTATTATAGGTGTATAATAGTGTAGCAAAGAATATGGTATCAATAGTGGTAAGTGTTATCCACAGTTTCAGAAAACCACAAGGAGTCTTGGCCCTTTATCCTAGAATGAGGGAAGAACTTCTGTATTATTTTATAGATGTGGATAGTGTCCAGGAGAAGGCAAGTGTCTTGCTTAAAGTATCAGGAGAGAACAAATTCTAATCCATTGTTATAAAGATATCATGAAGGAACAATATTTTAGTTAATTAATCACACTGGATTTTAAAATTGTTTCTCAGTAACATATTAGCTCATATATGAATGCATACTTCTTAAGTTCAAAACACATCTATTTGATGTATGTTGGTTAGTTGATTTTTGGTCAGCTATTTTGTAGGATTTTTTATGTTTAACTAAAAAAGTTATTGAGTCACAATGTAAATGATAAGTAACTGATGCTTTAAAAACAACTGAACAGAGCTAAAGGAAAAGCAGTTTATTAAAGCATGAAAGTTATATATTTTTTTTGGTACTGGGCATTGAACTCAGGGGCACTTGACAACTCAGCCACATCCTCAGCCCTATTTTGCATTTTATTTAGAGACAGGGTCTTACTGAGTTGCTTAGCACCTCCCTGAGTTGCTGGCTTTGAACTCCTGAGCCACTGGGATTACAGGCATGTGCCACCTTTCTTCATACTGTATTTACAATATGTAAGTAGTAGGGAGAAAGGAAAAAAATCATATAATTCTGTTCTTTTGTATAAAACACATTTATGAAAGGCAGGGTTCTTGCTAATGTCTATAGTTTTAGTATGTTTTTACAATTCCCTTTTGTGTAGATTATGATAGATACATAAGTAAGTGTAATATTTATTCCAAGTATACTAAAATAAAAATGTTGAAAATTAGTACCATTTTATTTATTTATTTATTTGTTTGTTTGTTTATTTTATGGTGCCAGAGATCAAACCTAGAGCCTTGTGCATGTTAGACCCCTGAATTACCTCCAGCCCCCAAATTAGGTACCATTTAAATTGAAAACAAAAACAAACTTTTAAAAAAAGGAAATGCACATTGAGTGGTGTTTTTGTTGGAAATGTTGAAAGTGGAAGTTATTATCACATTTATTATCACATCTTAAGTTAATTTATTATCACATCTTAAGTAAATTTATTATCACATCTTAAGTTAATGTACGTTTTATTCGTATGAGGATATGATATCTACTTTAAGAATAACAGTAGTTTACTATTAAACATCAGGATATTTTGACTAGAGGTAAGTAAATGTTTTAAGAGGTTCATTGAAAGGGCATTTTAATGATTAACACAAACTGTGCTACAGTTAGGTTTAACAGCTTATTTGAAATTTAGATTTTCTTTTGTTACAGTTCTCCATTACATTTTAATATTTTCAAACTCTGTAAAACTCAGAATATACACCAAGAAACAATGCTAAAGTAAAATAGGTTAGATGTTTGTGTGGCTCCTAGTGATTCAAAAGAATCTGATCTATTTCAGAATATATGGGATTCATGGTATTTACTGGAGTCCCAGTTGGGGTTTTCAAGAATAAGGGAACTTGGTCAAGTTCCCTTAAAGTTCCTGAAATCCAGCCCATGCTTTACCACTTGCCAAGTCTTACACCTTGGAGTAAAGCCATGTCTAAAATATTGACCTGTTTGGGGTAACTTACTTCTCTGGCTACGTCTCCAAAAGTTGTTATTATTATTTCACTTCACATAAAGATGCATGCAGATTATTGGCCACCTTGATTCTAAGAAACATTAAAAATACAAGGTCCGAGGCTTTAGTTTCTTAAGGGAGTGTGTGACATGTACACACACACCTGTGTTTGGGGGACACAGAAGGAGAAGAGGAGCAACCTTATACAAAAGGAATTTTACAAGTTTTAACAAACATTATTTAATGAATATATTATGACATTAGTGGGGCTTTTCATGTTTCTTTTGTTTTTCAGAAGAGGACTTTCAGAAGGTTCTAGAAAGCACAGTGTTGCTGTGAAAAGCAAAGATCCTTTACCAACACATTTTACAAGAAATGTTCAGAAAGCCATTGATAAATATACCTGGTAAGAATTCACCTGTTAAATGCTGCTGATTACAAAAATAAAAAAAAATCCAATAATAAATCAGTGATTGGCCATCATGAACCTTTTAAATTAAAATGCAGTTTTATTTTTAACCTAATGCAAAAATATTTTTAAATTAGTGCACTCTGTGTAAATGTTATGTCTGTTGCTTATGTTCATTCCAGTAGTGAATCCCCATCATCGTTTTCATCTAGTGGAAGCTGCACACCCACGAGAGCCCACGATTCATGGTCAAGGTCTTCAACACAGAGTTCTACCACTGGCTTGTCTACAGAGAGGAGCTCAGTTTATTCCTGGAGAGATGATGTATGTCTTGGAATTTTTTTGATAATACCATGATTATAAATTATATGAAGAATTGCTTCTTAGGTTCAAAAAAAATCTTTTTACCATTTACAAAAGCACTACCAATTATATCCATCTATATGCATACATTTGTGTATATAAAAGTATTTACAGATTACTGTGTAAAAATTTTGAAGTACCAAAATATAGGAAAAAAAATTGCTCGTAATTTTATAGCCCAGAGTCTTAGCTGTTGATAATTTTATTCTTTCCATCCTCTCACCCTCTTCCCATTATGTTATGTATGACTCCTTGTATAGTATCTATGGCAATTAGGAACTCAAATAAGAGAAGAATTTTGGAAAAATAAAAATTGTGAAGCATCTCCATTATTAGGGTATTTCTCCACAATATTCTAAACCAGATGTTTTACTTTTATCTTCTAACCCTAAAGAGAGTCATTCATTTAACCCTTCTTGGTTCTTTGTGAGAGTGGGACTCTTAGCTAGGTGAGCTTTAGTTATAGCTAAAGCTTTGCTAAGGACTTTGCAGGCTCCACAGTCTCCTTCCTCCTTATCCCTGCATCGTCCCGAGTCACAGCTCTGTAACACCCATGTGATTAAGGCAGAGCCTCTGTATGGCACCTGGGTGTTCTGTTTCTATCTCCTTGTTTGCTGTGTGTGTGTGTGTGTGTGTGTGTGTGTGGTGTTTATGTGTTGGTTTTTTTGTTTGTTTGTTTGTTTTTGTTTTTTTACTTTCTTTAAGAACGCTTCTCCACTCCTCATGGTGCATCTGAATCTAGTTACTGATGTAGTTAGATAGCAGTGAGTCTCAAAGAGGTGGGCAGTCACAGGGCATGGGAAGGATCTGGAAGGCAGTCAGCTCATCACTCAGAGGACTTTTTCATATGTGACTCCCTCACTTAAGATTACCTCTTCAGCATCTGCCTGCCCATGCACTGCAAACCCTCTCACACCCTTTTTCCTTGTGGGCATATCCCTGAAAAGACTGAGAGCCATTAATTCATCATGTCCCGATTCTGGAATCCATTTATCTATCTATCTATCTATCTATCTATCTATCTATCTATCTATCTATCATCTATTTACTTATGAATGACAGTGGAATGCATTACGATACTTATTACACATATAGAGCACAATTTTTCATATCTCTGGTTGTATACACAGTATATTCACACCAATTCGTGTCTTCATACTTGTACTTCGGATAGATCATCATATTCCACCATCATTAATTATCCCATGCCCCCTCCTTTCTCATTCCCCCCCCCGTCTATTCCTCCCATGCTCCCTCTCCCTATCCCACTATGAATCAGCCTCCTTATATCAAAGAAACCATTCAGCATTTGTTTTTTTGGGGGATTGACTAACTTCACTTAGCATTATCTTCTCTAAATCCATCCATTTACCTGCAAATGTCATGATTTTATTCTCTTTTATTGCTGAGTAATATTCCATTGTGTATATATGCCACATTTTTTTTATCTATTCATCTATTGAAGGGCATCTAGGTTGGTTCCACAGTTTAGCTATTGTGAATTGTGCTGCTATAAACATTGATGTGGCTGTGTTCCTGTAGTATGCTGGGTTTTTTTAATATTTATTTTTTGTAGTTGTAGTTGACATAATACCTTTATTTATTTTTATGTGATGCTGAGACCCAGGGCCTTGCACGTGCATGGCAAGCACTCTACCACTGAACCACAACCCCAGCATAGTAGTATGCTGTTTTTAAGTTTTTGGGGTATAGACCGAGGAGAGGGATAGCTGGGTCAAATGGTGGTTCCATTCCCAATTTTCCAAGGAATCTCCATACTGCTTTCCATATTGGCTACACAGATTTGCAGTCCTACCAGCAGTGTATGAGTGTACCTTTTTTCCCATATTGTCGCCAACACTTATTGTATACATAATAGCTGCCATTCTGACTGGAGTGATATGAAATCTTAGAGTGGTTTTGATTTGCATTTCTCTATTTGCTAGTGCTAATGAACATTTTTTCATGTATTTGTTGATTGATTGTACATCATCTTCTGAGAAGTGTCTGTTCAGGTCCTTGGCCCATTTATTAATTGGGTTATTTTGGTATTTTGGTGTTTAGCTTTTTGAGTTCTTTATATACCCTAGAGATTAGTGCTCTATCTGATGTGTGAGGGGTAACAAAACTACAATTATCTTATATTAGACAATAGTGCCAAGAGCAAGGCATTGGAGAAAAGATAGCCTCTTCAACAAATGGTGCTGGGAAAACTAGAAATCCATATGCAACAAAATGAACTTAAACCCCTATCTCTCACCATGCACAAAATGCAACTCAAAGTGGATCAAGGACATAGGAATACAACCAGAGACCTTGTGTCTAATAGAAGAAAAAATAGGCCCTAATCTCCATTGTGTGGGGCTAGGCCCCAACTTCCTTTATAAGACTCCTGTGGTACAAGAATTAAAATCAAGAATCAATAAATGCAAATGCCAAACGTTTTCTTTGATATAAGGAGAGTAACTAAGAATAGAGTTGGGAGGAAGAGCATGAGAAGAAGATTAACATTAAACAGGGGTGAGAGGTGGGAGGGAAAAGGAAAGAGAAGGGAAATTGCATGGAAATGGAAGGAGACCCTCATGGTTATACAAAATTACATACAAGAGGAAGTGAGGGGAAAGGGGGAAAAAAAACAAGGGGGAGAAATGAATTACAGTAGATGGGGTAGAGAGAGAAGATGGGAGGGGAGGGGATGGGGGATAGTAGAGGATAGGAAAGGCAGCAGAATACAACAGACACTAGTATAGCAATATGTAAAACAGTGGATGTGTAACCGATGTGATGCTGCAATCTGTATACGGGGTAAAAATGGGAATTCATAACCCACTTGAATCAAACTGTGAAATATGATTTGTCAAGAACTATGTAATGTTTTGAACAACCAACAATAAAAATTAAAAAAAAAAAAAAGAATCAATAAATGGGATGGACTCAAACTAAAAAGTTTCTTCTCAGCAAAAGAAACAATCTGTGAGGTGAATAGAGAGCCTACATCTTGGGAGCAAATCTTTACCCCTCACACTTCAGATAGAGCACTGGAATTCTTTCAGTACAAATTTTCAGGAAATTATCCAGGGAAAGTCTTATGACTTCTATTTATAGAATTTAAAGTATTCTAGCTGGGTGAGGTAGCTCACATCTGTAATCCCAGCATCAGAAGGCCGAGGCAGAAGGATCATGGGTGGCTGAGGCAGAAGGATCATGAGTTCAAAGCCAGCTTTAGCAACTTAGCCAGGTGCTAAGTAACTCAGTGAGAACCTGTCTCTAAATTTAAACATAAAATACATGGGCTGGGGCTGGGGATGTGGCTCAAGTGGTAATGTGCTCGCCTGGCATGCGCGGGGCACTGGGTTCTATCCTCAGCACCACATAAAATAAAATAAAAGATGTTGTGTCCACCGAAAACTGAAAAAAGAAAAATTTAAAAAATTCCCTTTCTCTTCTCTGTTTCTCTCTCTCTCTTAAAAAAAAAAAAAAAAAATATAAATATATATATATATATATATATATATGCTGGGGATGTGGCTCATTGGTTAAGCACCCCTGCGTTCAATCTCTGGTACCAAACAATAAACAATCAAACAAACAAAACCTCTACATCTTACAATTACTTTTCATTTCCTTTTAAAAAACTTTAGTTTTTTTTTTATAGAAAATATTTGCAAAAGCAACAAAATGCAAAAAAGAGAGAAACAAAAGTGAGCCTTCTCCCATGCCCCAGCCACCCAGTCCCCTCCTAGGAAACAAATTATTATTAGTTTTTCTCTTATTTTCACTTTAAAAGCAATAATTTGGTTCCCCTATGATCTGGGAATATAGTTTGTTTTCAGTTTGAGAGAATCAGATTTAACACATAAATCAAGATGGCTATTTTGGGTCAAGTGTGTCTAGCTGAATGTGCATTTTATTGCTTTCAATTGCAGATTAGATTTCAGATTCACATACTCCTAGAAGAAAACATGGCTAGGTCTCTGTGATTATAAGTTATGTGAAGAATTGCTTTTTTAGGTTCAAAAAAATATTTTTACCATTTATAAAAGCATTCCAATTATATCCATCTATATACACAAGCCTGTGCCAGGGTTGTTTCTCCCAATCACAGTAATGTTTATATTAGTAATATAATGTTCCACTTCTTGGCTGATAGGACTGTTAGCTTCCAACAGAGACCATCTAGGGTTGCTGAGAGGCTTTCTCAAGTACAGTTCACTACAGCTGAAACTGTTCAAGCCATCAGGAAAAATTAATATGCTGATCTCACCCTAATAACCATACCTCTTAGGACAACTAGGATTTTTTTTTCTACTTCATTGATGAAAAGAAGGTTAACGACCCTTTCTTCAAAAGTAATTTCTTTTTCCCAGGTATAATTAGAAGAAAAAAATAGCCTATACTTTGCAGCTGTGCTTAAGCACAATAGGCTCAACTATGTGAGGGATCTAGGTCTGTGACGTGTGTGTGTTTGTGTATGTGTGTGCACATGTGCATGCAGATATCAGGGTATGTGGGGGTCTGTGCATCCATCTGATGTCTTTGTTCATATATGTACCTGCGCCTCTGTGTCTATGTAAAATTTCAAATAAGGCTCATAAGTCATGAAAGAAGTGATCTCTTTCATAGTTAAGGAATCTGAGGCTCGAAACGAGATGCAATTAATTCATTAGAAAAGTCAGAGTTGGAGCACGGACTACAAAGACCACATTCTTTTTACCTTATTATACTTCCTGCTATATCATAGATTTGAAAATGCTTTAAATATCATTGATTGTGAAAGCTATGTTTCTATGGCTCTTAGGGTTCTAGCTCAATGCGCATTTCTGTTTCAGGAGTTTGACAAAGCCAATGCACAGAAAGTGCAGCAGTTGTTTTGGGAGGTCGATGAAATGCTATTTGAGGGGAAAGTAAGCCCTCAGACCCAGAATCTAGTGGCTGAATGTGGTGAATGGGCAAGAAGATCCCTCCATCTGAGGTAGGCATATCCTCCATAGAAATTCTCTGGAATATGTTTCGAACTAACCACTTCTGATCTGGGTCTATACAATCAATACATTTTGTTGGAAGCCATATATAAATTATGGGTTTGTTTGAGCCAACGTAAGGCAGCTGCTTTTCTGGGAACTCCTGGGTGAATTCCCCAGTTTGAGAAAGCCCAGATCATGCTGTTTCCCTCTCTTAGCTCACAGCTTTAATATCAACCCCTCTCACACTGAAACCTATCCCTGCTTTTGATGTACTACTCCCCTTAAATAAAGAATTGGAGCCTTTTTCAGTCAAGTTCCTATCAGGACTGGAAGACCTGTCAGGCGCTAATCTCTGGCTTTGTCTTTATTTCTTACCGATTATTTCAGACTGTTTATCTTCCCAGTGGCTCACCCCTCCTAGCAGGAACCTACTCTGCTGGGGTGCTGGTCACCTTGAAAGCACTTGCTCAGTCAAAATACTTATCCAAAGCACAGTCTTTTACTGATGGGTGCATCTTTTGCCATGGTGCCTGAGGAGATACTGAGACCTGACAGTATTCAGGTGCTTCTTAATTTGTGAGAAGTAAATGAAGCTCATTCAGAGAAAGGTACTATATATGCAACATGTGCAAGAATATTAGATGTGATCTTTGACCTTCACATTTACTCTTTATGAGCAGCAGGTGGTCATCAGCACTGAGAATAACCAGAGGGGCTCGTGTGGGCAGAGTATTTACAGAATGACTGGATAGATGAACCTTTCTATGTCATCATTGTTCCTGATATAAAGAGGGTCATTTATTATTTTTTTTAATACCAAAGGTAGAGATTGTAGATTGGGTCTGATGGGAAGCTTTGCTTCCTGTAATTCAGCCAACCTACTTAGAGGAAAGTACATCTGTTATCCCAAGTTCCTCCACATTATATTGGGAAGAATGAATTAGAAATTCAAATAAGTGCTCATGAATTTTCTAGTTAGCTTGACTAGGAAACTTTAGAAAAAAACCCCTAAGCAATGTATTTTTTCTCTCTTTTCAATCCTTCCTGAATCCCTACCTTAAAGTATATAATGTGTCCATTAGATGTTAATTATACATGTGTGCTTTTCTGGGAGTGGCTTGCCTTCCAAAAAATTCAGGAGCTCCAACTTGATTCTCTTACTGCTCTTCTACATTGTTAAGATAAAAACGAAGGAGGGAAGATGGAAAAAGAAAAGACTGCTAGGTGTATAAGCTTAGTGCAGATATTTATATGTTTTTATTCATTAGATAAGTGTTAGTTAACACATGCAGGGGGTTTCACTGTACTCTTCCTTGCCCTAGGCACCAAGTCTGATATGCTTTATCTCCAAGCCGCTCATCAGTCCTGCAAAGTAAATAAACAAGCAAATGACATTGGTGGCCTAGAGAGCCAGCACACTGTGCCTCGGAATCTTAGTCTCTGGCCAGAACAGACTGTCTCGCCTTCCCAAAGCTCAGGCACCATGATGCTTCTCATGTGCCAATACACACTACATCATGTCATATCCATGCCTTCAAAAACATTATTGCATCCTTCCTTTACAATCACAAAGCATTTTTTCCTAGTCTACTCAAGGATATTACTAACTCTTTAGTGTCTTTCCATTGCAGAATATTAGGAAGACAGCTTATCCTGCCAACTGATGAAGGGTTCCAACACTTCCAGGGCAATGTGCCTAGTTCTGCTGGCCACAAACCCTTACCTGATGCCCCAGAATGCAGCAGCAACATCCAACAGTATGTTGATATATGTTACGTCCAAAGTATTTTAGTTATCCTTTTTTATGTTTAACTCATCCATAGGCTTTGGCTCCACCAAATATTCAAATTTAGATTTCAATGCAGGGCGAGTGCAAAGAATATTTTCACAAGATGCTTCTGATCCTAAATTAATTATGCTTGAATATATGCATACATGTAAAATATGTATGAAATACAAACACATGCACATAGAAGTTAACTTAAACTTTTATTCCAAAGGCACTGTGAAAGCCAGGCTAAATGCAAAATCAAAAACTGCTTCATTGTGATGGAAGAAATAGCCTCAAGAAAATAGCAGAAGTAAAGCTTTCTCCTATTTTTGAGCTTACAAAAAAGTTTTGTTTGGTTTGTTTTTGTGGTGTTTGGGTTTGGGGTTTTTTTGTTTGTTTGTTTGTTTGTTTTGTTTTGTTTTGTTTGTTTTTTGGGGTTTTTTAAAATTGTTTTTTGCTGGGGATTGAACCCAGGGCCTCATGCATTCTAGTATATTGCTCTAATAGTGAGTTAAACCCCCACCCTTTTCATTTTTATTTTGAGACAAGGTAATTGTAATTTGCTGCAGCTAGCATCAAGCTTGCTATCCTCCAGCCTCAGCCTCCTCAATAGCTAGGATTACAGGTACGCACTACCACTCCTGGTTTACAGATTTCAATAAATATCTTTATTCCATTTACACCTTTATTCCATTTATTTGGCATTGAGCTGTGGTGGCATCCTTTCAGTACTAGCAAAGAGGATATAGACATATAAAATAATTTAGCCTTTTAAGAAGCCTTTAAGTTTTTTTTTTAATGATGCTGGTGTTAAAATGCTTTTAAGGATCAGTTTTTGCAAATGTAATAGTTAATGATTTTTAAATTTGAGGTTCTGTACTTCATGGCGATTTTAAAGATCCGCCATGTTGGTGCACGTGTTACGTTCTTGTTGGTCTACAGAATCCCATATAGGATGATCTTTTCCCATAGGTTGTGCATCTCTGGTTCTCAAATAATCCCAGCCACACTCTCAGCCTCTGCCCTGCCAGGCCCTGTAGGCACAGGGACGGCCCACCTCACAGCATGTTCATCCCTGGAAGAAGAGGTTTACGATATGGATGGAAAGGTGGAAGAATATTTTGCTTTTGACAAAAAAGAGGAGTAAGTAGAATTTTGTTTGACATCCACTTCATAGTATAATAGTTTGACATTTATTTTATTACATGCTCATTTTGTGTTTTGTGTATTTTTTATTTTATCTAAAAGATTTCTGTTCTTTTGAGAATACTGTACTCCCCAAAGAGTTCAGATTCCTAACAGCAAGTATATGTGCTAGAGTGGTGTTTCCCTGCCTTCTTGACAGGATGGCACAGAGAGGAAACAAGAGCTCTGTCCAGCATGCTAGTGAAAACAGGCAAGGCCACCAGGCCTCATGCCCAGGGACTGTAGGTTCCTTACCAAGGGCAAAGGGAAAGTTCTAGTCTCCGTACTAAATGCATATTTTGTTCTTAAAGCTACAAGTGTTGTAGGATAGCAATTTGAAAATTGTTACATTAAAAAACAACTAGTTGCTAAAATAAGTCTTAACAAATTTAAAAAGGATGAAATATCAAGCATCAGTAACAGGAGGAAAACTGGAAAATTCACCAATATGTAGAAATTAAACTTTTGAATAGCTGAGGGGTCAAAGAAGAAATCAAAAGGGAAAAAAGAAAATTATCTTGAGACAAATGAAAATAGATATATACCTTACCGAAACTTATGTGATAACATAAACAGTTCTGAGGAAAGTGTATAGCAATCGATGCTGACATTTAAAAAAAAAAAAAAGAAGAAGAGAGATCTCAAGTTGGCAAATGAACTTTATACCAGAAGGAACCAGAGAAAGAAGAACAGAGTAGAGGAAGGAAATAACCGAAATCAGAGTAGAAATAAATAAATCCGAGACCAGGAAAAAACAACAGAACAGATCCATGTAACTGAGAGTTGTTTTTTATTGTTTCTTTTGGTTTTTATCCTCTAGCTTTATTGTGGTATGAATGATAAAAATTGTGTATATTTTTCAAAAAGTGTGCTATTTAAAAAGAATTTTACATTTATTTATATATGTATAAATGTGCATATGCATGCATGTCAGATGATAGAATAACTTTAGAATGGATAGATAGAGAGATTGGGAGAGAGAGAGTGAGTTACTTTAACTTAAACATGGATACCTCTAGTGATTACACTGAGTTTTCATTCTTAGTGGCGATGAACGTCTTGGACAGAAACCAGCTCACCGTGGCAGGAATTGGCATAAACATGGACTTCCTCCTATTTCCCCTCATGACTGTATCAAAGATGCTGTGGCAGCAGAAGTGTTTGATCATGTCTGGAAAAATGTGGTAGAAATATTAGAAGAACTGATTAGGAAAAACTGGGAAACTACACTTAAAGGTACTTATTTGCAGAATTTGGCCACCTGAAAAGATAAAAAATGGGCTTTGTGCTCCCCGCCGCCCCCCCTTGGCCTCACCTAGAACAGGACTGGGGTGGGAAGACAAGTGGCTTTCTACCTTTACTCACAGGTGATCTTTAATCATTTCCAAAAGGACATGGTTGTTTTTTGAGTTACAAAAATAATACCTTTGCACTCTGAAAAAACAAAAACAAAAACAAAACTCAGAAATGCACAGAAAGAAACTGGAAGTCACATTATCTTTTATTGTGGTAAAACAAAACTTCACCTAACTACTCTCTAATAAGGGGATATTTGTTTTTAATTATTGATGACATTATTTATAGAGTAAAATATGAACATAGCTAACTTGATAATCACTTCGGTTATCTTCACTTAAACATATAAAATGTTCTCTAAAGCACCTAAAATGGAGCAGAAACAAATCATAGTAATTATTGATGGTGGACCTTAATGACTAGTTTTAGGTATTTGATACAATAGGGCAATAAACATGATAATTCTAATGCTGTTCTTTTTCCAGCCAAAAGGATTAGTCAGGCTTTTATAAAACTCTGAGAATCTTTTTTTGCTCCATTATATAATCTCTGTTTTGCTACTAACCACTGGAATGACGGTATGGTAACCAGTTGGTTCATGGGGTCTCTGCTCTCTAGTGTATTGCTCTTTAATTGATGGCTATAACTTAGATTTTTGGTGACTCAAGAATAGATTTTTTCTTTGCAGAGTGAATTTATTTGTATTAGGTAATCTGATGTTTCTCATAATATTGATTTTTCTGTTGACACAGAAGGGAAAAAACAGAAAGAAAAGTTGAAAGTCGCAGAAAATAGACCTCCACAGGTACTCCTCTCCCGGCTGAGCACTGATGTGGCTAGCGTCCCCCCATCCAGGAGTTCTGAAGCTCGCAGCTTGCCCATGGCTTCTCATCTTAATCTACCCCAGGTAGATGCATTTACATCCTGTTTCCCTTTTGTTTCTTCAGTTTTTACCTTAGTTTTTCAAGAACACCATTCTATTGAATTCAGTTATCAAAATATTTAATAGTGTTTGTCAATAAGATTAAAATGTAATGTGATCACTTCATGGTGTTTATTTAATAGCATCACACATGCCTTATGAGATACTAGTTTGAGATGTGAAATTATTTTTGAAATTTTGTGAGAGGGGGGAAAAAATACTTTCCCCTAAGTTTGTAGACATTTTGAAAGTTACAAATGGCCTCCTTCCCTTCCACCAAAGTAACAAAAGAATTAATGAGTGTTCATTAATGAGAATGACTTGGGTTCCTTAAAGAGTTAGTGCTTGTATTAATTGCACCATGTTAGTTGTTTTGAGGAGATATGTAGATGAATAAAACTGGGTCCCTGACCTAGTGAAACAAAAATTATAACATAAGGTGAGATGCATTACCTTCTGTGAGGAATGAGCAAAAATAGGCATGGTAGGAGAATCCAGGAGAGATTGATTCATCCTGATTAGAGGATGGGGTTGATGTTGGACACCAGAGGTGAAATCAGAACAGAAACATGAACAAATGAGTAGAACTTTTGTGGCTAAGAATTTTGGGTCGGCCACTTCGGGCCAGGCAAAGGCATGGATGCATGAAAGATAGATGGTTGAGGCCAGTGATTGGACTGAGGATTTAGAGGACAGAAGACTGGGAACAGCAGGGCATGGTGGGGAAAAAAAAAATGGGGCTTTGGAATCAGGAGGTCTGGGCTGAGTGTTATTTTGGACATGTTAACTTCCTGAGCTTTAATCTACTTATCTGTGTAACAAGGAGAATAATGCGTTGACTAAGATATGGTTGTGAGGATCAAATTCTAGAAAGATGTGAGAACTTTGAATGAAGATTTTTAACCATATATAACCACCTGATACACTGTTCTTGAATTTCATCCTCATTCATAGATCTAGTAGGGGTGAGGCTGGAAAGGATGAGCCTGTTCATGGGAGATCTTGGATATGCTAGGGAGTTTGGATTTCATGTTCCACACAGACCTTCTTATGTGGGAGACCAGAGAAAAGGAATCAGACAAGATTCCTGGTCTTGAGCTATGTGCCATTTACAGACCAGTTGGAAGGAGTCAAGCCATACCGAATGCGCGTGCACACACACACACACACACACACACACCACACGTGTGCACGCGCGTGCACAGAGCCAATATTATTGATAGTAGTGCGAGTGAGAGTTCGAGCTTTGCTTATTAGAATCCAACTTTGAAACCTGGTGATACCATTCATTAGCATTATGATCTCAAATCAGTCATTTTCTCTCAAAACCTCAACTTTAATATGTTACCTATGCATGAGAATTTAATATGTTACCTATGCATGAGCTGTGAGAATTAAAGGAGATATGACACTTATTATAGTGTGTAGCCTGGAATAGGCACTCCATAACTTTTAGCTTTTATTATAATCAGATGCTAATTACCTATAATGTATTATATTTTATAATAGATTGCTTTAGCTCCTAAGTCCTGTAGGGTTCAGAGGAAAAATATACCTTTCACAAATTAGAATAAGATATACACTAAGTCCTAAATGATAGTAAGATTTGTTAAACTGAAAAAATAGAAAAAGAGGCACACTTAACATAGGTGCAAATAAGCAGAATGCCTGTGTAAGACTGGCAAAACTCATCCCTGAACAGGGCTTGTGGTTTGGGGAGCAGTGAGTTAAACAGTATCTAAGCCTAGCAGCCTTATTTTGCTTTCTAGAGTAAGGGCTTTACAATAAGCTTCTTTGCTTTTTACTGTTCGAGAGAGACTTTTGGAGTTTCTGCCTGGTTCTTGTAGTTTTGGGTCTCTTTAAACTGCTCTGATAAGTTCAATACAGTATTTCCCACTTTGTTTAGTATGCAGTATAAAATATGGTGCCTTGATTAATTTTTTTTTCAAATTTAGCCAGTTTGTACCATTTGTTTTCTGAAGATTTGACAGGCATCAATAATTGGAATATTGTTTTACTTTTTTTTTTTGAACTTTTCTCAGATTCATCGCTTCTCCAACAATTTCTACAGTGATTTGAATGGTGTGATGACAATTCAAGCAAAACCACTCCAGCAGAGACCTATGTATTTTGTGGATAGAACACAGTACGTATGAGGAAGAACCCAACCACTTCCCTATGCTGGAAATGCTGGAACAGGAAGTGTTTATGTTTATACACTGCAGGAACATGGGACAGTGAAAATCCCATTTAATTCCATGCTCCAGATGTGCCTGAGCATACCCCAGAGGAAGTACAGCCAGAGTAAAAGCAGGTTCTTCTGACATCAACCACAACGTAATTCCTGTTGCATTAGGAAGAGATGAGAGAAGCTCAATGCAGTTATGAATTCCTAAGCTTGTGGGCTTTGCTACCATTTGATTACAAACAATGAAAAAGTGACATTTTTGTTCACCTATGAATTTATTAGTATAGAAATGGAAACAATAGTCTGTCCATTCATTTAACAAGTACCTCCAGGAGTATGTTCTGGGTACCAGGCACTATTGTGCGTGACACAGAGGAAGGTACCAAGAGTTGTGTTCAATCTTCTCGTAGCACTCACATCTGAGCAACTAACTGGATTTTCCTCCTCTAGGAATGAACAAGAGGACAAATCATCTAGTGTGGGCGCCAGTGCTCCGTCCTCTACACGGCTCCGCCTGGCTAGAATCTCAGATACTCACAGATTACAGACTTCTGCCAGGAAAATACCAGCGCACCGGAGGCTGCCTTCTCTTACTTCAGATTCACAGAGAATAAAAACCCCCAATGTGTACAGTGATGAAATTCTTAGGGGAACAAAACTGTAAGTCTTGTTTCTTTATCATGGTAAACAAAAGGTCATAGGGCAGAGACATTGTCAATTAGGATTGATGGATTATTCTGAACAAAGTATCCTCCATCAGATTTTATTTAGATGCTTTTCTTTTCTTACAAGTTCATTTGAGTATTCAACACTAACTTTGTTCCAGTAGTTCTATGTAACTGTCTACATACATTTATTTATTTTATTAATGGAATTTCTTGTATTTCCGTTATTATCTTAGTTATTTCTCACTGCAAACCTTTCCAGTGGTATTCATATTATCTCAAATATAAGATGAAGAAACAGGCTGAAAGAAGTTGAATAACTTGCCTAGGATCATCATCACAGCAGGAAGGCAGAGCTGGGGACAGCCACAATGCTCTTGGCTTTGGAGTCCACCCCCTGGGCCCTAGGCTATAGACTTTCTACTGCAAGGGACTGAGCTTTAGAGGAGTTGAACTGAAATCCCCTTCAGGAGCTGATGGGTTGAGCAGCTTCCAACTATTAGTCACTGGACTCTCAAAAGATGCATTTAGAGCACCATTTGCAACGTTTTGATAGACCACCTTTCTTTTACAACTGATATATATTAGGCATAGGATGGATATTCCTGGTGGTATTTGGATCTGTTCTGTTTGTGCTTTCAAGTCATCTCTCCCTCCTTCAATCTCAGCATGGCCACCCCCCACAAGCTTATGCCCGTGTCAATAGCACGGACCGCTCTCTCCTCTCTTCCAGTCTTCCAGGGCTCCACTATCAAACTTTCATCAGAAACCATTCCTATTTCCTACTGAAACAAATCTAGATACCTCCAATTGTACGTTCCTTCCATGTTTTGGTCCCTCTTTCCAGAGACGAGAATTTTTAAAGTTTTTTCCCCCGCTATTAACCATGTCAGGGACCCTTTTTAGACTATTTTCCCTAATTGTGCCCCAATCCTGGGAATTCAAATATCACAGATATACTGTCTATCTGTATGTATAGCAATGCTTGCTTTATGCAGAAGAGTAAAATTTTTTGCCTTCTTTGGGGGGATCCCTCTCACCCTCTTTGACTATGCATAACTATTTCCTATTAGTTCTCTTCTCCTCTTTAATTCTGGGCAAACTTATCTTCCTTTGCCTCACAAACACACCAGCTATGCTTGTTTTGATATGTTTATGGTGTCCTCTGCATTTTTTTTTTTTTTGTGTGTGTGTGTATGTGTGGTTGTCCTGAGATTCAAACTGAGGGCGAATTTGTGCCACTTGGGCACTCTACCCCTGAGCTACAACCCCTGCCGTTAACTTTCGATTTTATGAAATAACATTTTTTCTCTAATTATCAAAGTACCAAATACCCTGGAACATGTTGACAATATAAAAATATGAATAGAAACCAAAGATTACTTGAATGTTTCTCACACAGAAATATAGTAATGACAATGGTTGGTAAAATTTCTATCAACTTTGTCTAGGATTATATTTTTTCCTTCTTTCCCATTGTCTTTTTCCTAACACTATCTTACTGTCGTATAATGTAGCACTTTTTTCTATACTTTTTTCACTTAACATTATATTATTTATATTTCAGTTCTCAAATACTTTTTAAAAGCATGATTTTAATGACTACTCATCATGTGGGTATATCATAATTTATTAAGTATTTCCCTATCTATGAAATTTCACTCTTTTCTATATTTTCATTTTGATGATGTGCAGTGGACATCATTTGATATCAGTCTCCAAAAGGATATCCTTAAATTGTTTCCTAATGATACAATCCTAGAAGGAAAATGAACAGGTCAAAGGTTATGGATATTTTTTAGGTTCTTGAAATATTTTGCCAAAGTTCTTCCTGCAATGGTTGTACAAATTTATAGTCCCACTGGCAATATAGGTCTCCTTCCCCGCGGTCTCTAAAGTTGAGGTCCTGCATATACTTTTAAAAAACTTTATAGCTTTATAGGTTAAAAAGTCTCCTACTATAACTTTCATGACTTTGTTATTAACGAATAAATGATTTTGAATCTGTTTCTAGAATGTCTTATCTATTCCTGTGCAAAAACCAATTTAAATTTTGAATGTTATTATCTGATAGGGACTGTCTCCTGTCATTACTCTTCTTTTATTAGAATTTAGTCAGTGGCTGATTGACAGCCACTGCTAAATAGGGGCAATGTGATTTGACCCACTGATTTGGTATAAATTTCAAACAAATAATCTTTACAATCAAAGTGTCAAATTTAAAACAGAACATATACATTGGGCATCATAGTGTTAAATCTATAAAGAATGTTGGAAAAACTAAAACCTTCGTGATATTTAGTTTTCCTACCAGAGAATGTCTTTTTGCCTCTAACTTCATATCACCTTTTTATGACTTCACATAAAATTCTGTAGTCTTCCTCATCTAAGCCCTGTGCATTGATAATTAATTGTGCCTCTTATGGATTATGACTTTTCTTAAAATATATATATATATATGTGTATGTATATATACATACTATTTCAATGATCTCTAATTACTTGTATTTTCAATAGCTGGTCATAGGAAGGAGCTAGATCTTCAGTTTCTTCTGTGTTCTGTACAGTTCCCAGTGTGGCTGAGCACTTGGGAAATCCAGATTGACAGCCACTGCTAAATAGGGGCAATGTGACTGGAGCTGCTAGTCCCTGTCTCATCTCCCATCTCCCTGAAGCATGGCTTGTTTTCCTTGAACATTGCTTTTGGAAGGCAGATCGTGATTGGCAGCTCAGATTGGAGTTGCCTGCTAGGGGCTGACTCCTCCGCACTTGCGTACTCAGTTGCATGTTGTTGTGTTTACAGGCAAACTGGCCTAGACCACGTGTCTTCCCCACCGGTTCAAACCTCCTGGAGCAGGTTGCCCCCAATAGGCTCAGAGGCTGGGGAGCAGATCACAGCTGTTTCTGGATCCCGCTCCATTTCCGTAAGACAGATTTCATTAAAAGTGCAACCATTTTAGTTAATCTGTGGGAAAACAAGTAAACCAGAACAATCCTAGCACTTCTAAGAGAAGTCAGAACATAAGAGAATGCTCTACTTGGCTGCATCCAAAATGTCTTCATAATCCACTTCTAGAATATAAATGGCTCATGAGACTTTAGAGGGGGATGATATAAAAATTTGTCTTGAGCTAAAACAGAAAGTTCAGGTGTCAAGGAAATAGACAGTGAAGAAAAGAGCATAGAGGTTAGGTCAAGAGACAGGCGGAGCCATGTCTCCATCCTGCCATGCAGACCCACCGATTTGGTACAAGTTTGCTTTCATCTCCCTGAACCTTAGTTTTTTCATCTATAAAAGGGTATTAACAATTCCTGTCTCGAGGAATTGTTAGAAGGATTAGATGAACGCATACATTTTACATGTATGATATAATGACTGATGCAAACTAGGAGCTCAGTAAATTATTATCCCTGTCATTTTTTTAAACCTTTATTTTTTATTTATTTATTTTATGTGGTGCTGAGGATTAAACCCAGTGCCTCACATGTGCGAGGCAAGCGCTCTCCACTGAGCCACAACCTCAGCTACCCTTATCATTTTTATCAGCTCTCATTTTTGCAGCTGATTTTTGCCATACTTATTGCAGTACAGAGGCAGTGTCTTTCTCACTCAAGCTTAGTTCACCCATGCTCTTGGTAGTATGGGTAACCAGGTTTCTCACAGATTTACAATGATCCACACGCCTCACTCGGAAACAAGTAATTTGTGTCTTTTGTATGAAACATGAAAGGACGACCTGTTAGAGGAGCATAGGACAGAAAGAGAGAAACAAAACAAAACAAAACACTAAGTTAGGGTTTTCTCTCACATTCTTTTCTGCCACCTTAATCACAGCAATAGAACCTGTTCCCAGAAGGCTAGAGTGGCAAAGCTTGAATGTGTAATCTTAGGATGAAATAATAAAACAAGGCAAATGCTTCCCAAGCCCAGAATTACATTTCTAATATAAATAAATGTTAAGAATTTTGTGTGATTAAGGTTTTTAATACCTATTTACCTATTATGGCATTACCTTTTGGGGGGACTTAATAATATAATAATGTAATTAAAACATATAGATATTTAGAAGTCCTTGTATTTGGCAAATTTAAATAAGTATTTTAAAGTAAGTAACTCAGTGAATGAATAAGTGAATGACTGAAGCATCCATAGATGTTGTTTTGTCTTTCTAAGGAATGTATTTCTTTTAAACAAGAGTGTATTATTCTTCATTCAGTACAGGGGAAGGTATCCCCCAAACCACGTGTCAAGTGCAATGCCTGATGGCATAGAAAGATCCCCTCTCCGAGAAAAAACCATTACCCTGGAACAACTTTCAAGGCCCAACACAACCCATACATTCCGGGTAGGTCTGCTGTTGCTGTTAACCATAACTTTGATTAAAACAAAACAAAACACAACAAAAAAGATATTTTGTTTTTTAAATACAGCTCATCCCTCATTTTATTTTCCTCTTAACAGTCGGATACACCTCGAAAAGGTTCACTTACAACGATGGAATTTGCTGGTCACACATGGACAGGTCAAAGTATTTTGATAGGTCAGTATTTTCTTGTTTCTTTTTTTTTAAACCTAAAACTATTTTTTTTATTTATATATGACAGCAGAATGCATTACAATTCTTATTACACATATAGAGCACAATTTTTCATATCACTGGTTGTATACAAAGTATATTCACATCAATTCATGTCTTCATACATGTACTTTGGATAATAATGTCCATCACATTCCACCATTATTTCTTTTTTTTTAATTGGTTGTTCAAAACATTACAAAACTCTTGACATATCATATTTCATACATTAGATTCAAGTGGGTTATGAACTCCCATTTTTACCCCAAATACAGATTGCAGAATCACATCGGTTACACATCCACATTTTTACATAATGCACCATTATTTCTAACCCCATGTCCCCTCCCTTCCCCTCCAACCCCTCTGCCCTATCTAGAGTTTGTCTATTCCTCCCATGCTCCCTCTCCCTATCCCACTATGAATCAGCCTCCTTATATCAGAGAAAACATTCGGCATTTGGTTTTTTGGTATTGGCTAATTTCATTTAGCATTATCTTCTCTCCATCCATTTACCTGCAAACTCCATGATTTTATTCTCTTTTATTGCTGAGTAATATTCCATTGTGTATATATGCCACATTTTTTTTTATCCATTCATCTATTGAAGGGCATCTAGGTTGGTTCCACAGTTTAGCTATTGTGAATTGTGCTGCTATAAATATTGATGTGGCTATGTCCCTGTAGTATGCTGTCCTTTGGGTATAGACCAAGGAGAGGGATAGCTAGGTCAAATGGTGGTTCCATTCCCAATTTTTCAAGAAATCTCCATACTGCTTTCCATATTGACTGTACCAATTTGAAGCCCCACCAGCAGTGTATGAGTGTACCTTTTCCCCAACATTCTCACCAACACTTATTGTTGTTTGTCTTCATATTAAATAGCTGACATTCTGACTGGAGTGAGATGAAATCTTAGAGTGGTTTTGATTTGGATTTCTCTAATTGCTAGTGCTAATGGGCATTTTTTCATATATTTGTTGATTAATTGTATATCATCTTCTGAGAAGTGTCTGTTCATGTCCTTGGCCCATTTATTGATTAGGTTATTTGTTTTTTTGGTGGTTAACTTTTTGAGTTCTTTATATTCTAGAGATTAGTGCTCTATCTGATGTGTAAGGGGTAAAGATTTGCTCCCAAGATGTAGGTTCTCTGTTCACCTCACAGATTGTTTCTTTTGCTGAGAAGAAACTTTTTTGTTTGAGTATATCCCCTTTATTGATACTTGATTTTAATTCTTGTGCCATAGGAGTCTTATTAAGGAAGTTGGGGCCTAACCCCACATGATGGAGATTAGGGCCTACTTTTTCTTCTATTAGATGCAGGGTCTCTGGTTTTATTCCTAAGTCCTTGATCCATTTTCAGTTGAGTTTTGTGCATAGTGAGAGATAGGGGTTTAATTTCATTTTGTTGCATATGGATTCCCTGTTTTCCCAGCACCATTTGTTGAAGAGGCTATCTTTTCTCCAGTGCATGTTTTTGGTACCTTTGTCTAATACAAGACAATTGTAATTTTGTGGGTTAGTCTCTGTGTCCTCTGTTCTGTACCATTGGTCTACCAATCTGTTTTGGTGCCAATACCATGCTGTTTATGTTACTATTGCTCTGTAGTATAGTTTAAGGTCTGGTATAGGGATGCCACCTTCTTCACTCTTCCTTCTAAGGATTGCTTTATCTGTTCTGGGTCTCTTATTTTTCCAGATGAATTTCATGATTGCTTTTTATTTCTATAAGGAATGTCATTGGGATTTTGATCAGAATTGCATTAAATCTGTATAGTGCTTTTGGAAGTATAGTCCTTTTGATAATATATCCAAGAACAAGGTAGATCTTTCCATCTTCTAAAGTCTTCTTTGACTTCTTTCTTTAGGGTTCTGTAATTTTCATTGTATAGATCTTTCACTCTTTCATGAAGTTGATTCCCAAGTTGTGTTTTTTTTTTTTTTTTTTTTGAGGCTATTGTAAATGGGGTAGTTTTCCTCATTTCCCTTTCAGAGGATTTGTCACTGATATACAGAAATGCCTTTGATTTATGAGTGTTGATTTTGTATCCTGCTACTTTGCTGAATTCATTTAATAGTTCTAGAAGTTTTCTGGTGGAACTTTTAGGGTCTTCTAGATATAGAATCATATCATCAGCAAATAGTGCCAATTTGAGTTCTTTTTTTCCAATGTGTATCCCTTTAATTTCTTTCATCTCTCTAATTGCTCTAGTCAGTGTTACAAGAAGTATGTTAAATAAAAGTCCTGAAAGAGGGTATCCCTGTCTTGTTCCAGTTTTTTAGAGGGAATGCCTTCAATTTTTCTCCATTTAGAATGATGTTGGCCTGGGACTTAGCATAGATGGCCTTTATGATGTTGAAATATGTTCCTGGTATCCCTAATTTTTCTAATGTTTTGAACATAAAGGGATGCTGTATTTTGTCAAATGTTTTCTCTGTGTCTATTTAGATGATCATATGATTCTTATCTTTAAGTCTGTTGATGTGATGAATTACATTTATTGATTTCCGTATGTTGAACCAACTTTGCATCCCTGGGATGAATCCTACTTGATCATGGTGCACGATCTTTTTGATATGTTTTTGTATTCGATTTTCCAGAATCTTATTGAGAATTTTTGCATCTGTGTTCATCAGAGATATTGGTCTGAAGTTTTCTTTTTTTTGTTGTGTCTTTGCCTGGTTTTGGAATCAGAGTAATATTAGCCTCACAGGATGAGTTTGGAAATGCTGCCTCTTTTTCTATTCCTAAAATAAATTGAAGAGTATTGGTATTAATTCTTCTTTAAAGGTCTTGTAGAACATGGCTGTTTATCCATCCAGTCCTGGGCTTTTCATGGTTGGTAGACTTTTGATGGTGTCTGCTATTTCATCACTTGAAATTGATCTGTTTAAATTGTATATATCATCTTGATTCAATTTGGGCAAATTATATGACTCTAGAAAATTGTCAAGGCCTTCAATATTTTCTATTTTACTGGAGTACAAGTTTTCAAAATAATTCTAATTATCTTCTGTATTTCTGTAGTGTCTGTTGTGATATTTCCTTTTTCATCACCTATATTAGTGATTTGAGTTTTCTCTCTGATCCTCTTCATTAGCATGGCTAAGGGTCTGTCAATTTTATTTATTTTTTCAAAGAACCAACTTTTTGTTCTGTCAATTTTTTCAGTTGTTTCTTTTGTTTAAATTTCATTGATTTCAGCTCTGATTTTAATTATTTCCTGTCTTCTGCTGCTTTTGGGTGTTGATTTGTTCCTCTTTTTCTAGGGCTTTGAGATGTAATGTTAAGTCATTTATTTGTTGACTTTTTCTTCTTTTAAAGAATGAACTCCATGCAAAGAATTTTCCTCTTAGAACTGCTTTCATAGTGTCCCAGAGATTTTGATATGTTGTATCTATGTTCTCATTCACCTCTAAAAATTTTTTAATCTCCTCCTTGATGTCTTCTGTAATCCATTGTTCATTCAGTAGCATATAGTTTAGTCTCCAGGTATTGGAGTGGATTTCATTTTTTATTTTATCATTGATTTCTGATTTCATTCCATTATGATCTGATAGAATGCAGGGTAGTATCTCTACTTTTTTATATTTGCTAAGAGTTGCTTTGTGGCATAGTATATGGTCTATTTTAGAGAAGGATCCATGTGCTGCTGAGAAAAAAGTGTAGTCTCTCGTTGAAGGATGAATTATTCTATATATGTCAGTTAAGTCTAAATTATTGATTGTATTATTGGGTTTTATAGTTTCTTTGTTCAGCTTTTGTTTGGAAGATCTATCTAGTGATGAAAGAGGTGTATTAAAGTCACCCAGAATTATTATGTTGTGGTCTATTTGACTCTTGAACTTGGGAAGAGTTTGTTTGATGAACGTAGATGCTTCATTGTTTGGGGCACATATATTTAAAATTGTTAAGTCTTGTTGGTGTATGGTTCCCTTGAGCAGTATGTAGTGTCCTTCTTCATCCTTTTTGATTGAATTTAGTTTGAAGTCTGCTTTATGATATGAGGATGGAAACCCCTGCTTGCTTCCGTGGTTCATGTGAGTGGTATGATTTTTCCCAACCCTTTACTTTCAGTCTGTGGATGTCTTTTTCTATGAGATGAGTCTCTTGGAGACAGCATATTGTTGAGTCTTTCTTTCTTTCTTTTTTTTTTTGATCCAATCTGCTAGTCTATGTCTCTTGATTAGTGAGTTTAAGCCATTAACATTCAGGGTTATTATTGAGATGTGATTTGTATTCTTAGCCATTTTTGTTTATTTTTAGTATTTAATATGTCTTAGTTTCACCTCTGATTAGTTTTTTTCTGATTTTTCTATAGTGTAATCACTCCCTCTGTTGATTTTCATCATTGTTTTTTATTTCCTCCTCTTGGAATATTTTGCTGAGGATGTTCTGTAGTGCAGGCTTTCTAGTTGTAATTTTTTAAACTTTTGTTTATCATGAAAGGTTTTTATTTCATCATCAGATCTAAAGCTTAGTTTTTCTGGATATAAGATTCTTGGTTGGCATCCATTTTCTTTCAGAGCTTGTTAAATGAACTCCTTCTCTAACATTTTATCAACTTCGCTGTTCATGGGTTCTGTTATTATAGTGTCCTGGCATCCTGGATTTGGGTCCTGCCCAAGTTGGAGTGGATGGATCTGGGTCGCTGGGCTTGACCTTCCTAGGTAGTCTATTGGTCCAAAGTGAGGATGGAAACCCCTGCTTGCTTCCATGGTTCATGTGAGTGGTATGATTTTTCCCAACCCTTCACCTTCAGTCTGTGGTTGTATTTTTCTATGAGATGAGTCTCTTGGAGACAGCATATTGTTGGGTCTTTTTTTTTTTTTAATCCAATCTGCTAGTCTATGTCTTTTGATTGGTGAGTCCTGCACCAGAGGCTGGGCTCTGGAGGGTGTCTGCCCCGCTGGGGGATGGGTGGACTGTGCCTGCTCTACCTGGGACCCACATAGGCCAATGTGGGTGGATCTAGGCTGCTGGGCTTGACCTCGACAGGTCAGTAGTTTTTACATATAAAGATAATGATGAATTTGCAAAACTTTAAGTTTCATAAAATGAAATTGAAGGTTATCTACCTGATAGGCCTATTTTGACCATGTAGAAGAAAATAGTAAGTGTCCATGATCTGTGGCTCTACCTTCAGAAATTCTATCAAGAGAAAACCTGTACATATCAGCAGGGGCCACAGCAGCTGCAGGGTGGAAAGGAGAAAATGGATCAGTGCTCTTAATGAACTGGGGTCTCATTTTCATTAAAAAAAAAAAGGAAAATCCTTTCTGCAATCAAGTTTTCATGCTTTTCTTCTAAATGAAACCATTATCCTATATTATCTTTGAAAATCTAATGATAATAGTGCTTGAGAAAATGAGCACAGATTTGCTAATTATTTTCTATCCTAAAACTTTCCAGATATATTTTCATCCTAGTATGTTTTTGATTAATAAAATTATAGTTTGAATGTAGGCCGGGCATAATTTGATTTTCAAACTAATACCAACATTTCCTTTTTCCCATGGAGGCAGCACTGATCATGTGAGGTGTGCTGTTCTGGAATCTGCTGGGTTCCCACCCTGGCTCTACACTGACAAGATGTGCAGTCCTAAGAAAGTCCAAACCTCTCTGAACCTCAGTTTCTTATTTTATAACAGATTATATAGATAAAATAGTTGTTGGAAAATCTATGAAAAGGACATAGCTAGATGCCAGGCATATACTACTTGCTCAGAATTATTTATTGTATCATAAATAGTCTTAAATGTCAAGGATAATGTATTTGTGTTAAGGGAAATTTTAAATATCATTCTAAAAGTAAAATAGGTAAATTTTAGGCATAATATAACAGATTTATCACCGTTAATATCAGCCTTTCGGGGGCGGGGGAGGGAGGGCTGGGGTTGTGGCTTAGTGGTAGAGAGCTTACGTAGTAGCATGAGTGAGGCACTGGGTTCCAACCTCCGCACCATATAAAAATGAAATAATAAAGATATTGTGTCCACCTACAACTAAAACAACCCCAAATATTAAAAAAAAAAAAAAATCAGCCTTTCTACAGTTTTATAGCATAGTGATGTCAGGGATTCTTTAGTCCTTTGAAGTTTTTCTCTTATACTAATAGCCCTAGGCTGCTGTGGCTTTTGTTGCTTTTTATGTTCCTTAGCAGTGTTAGCCATCATTTTTAGTGACAATAAGATTCCTGTAAATGGCCACTGTGCTGCATTATAACGTATGACTTTTAACATAGTTGTAGATAGTAGGGGGAAAGTAAGCACTGATTTGTTTATTATTCAGTAACAATATACCAGGGAAGTCTCACCCTGTGCTAGGTTATGATATAAGGGCCAAGATTCAAAATATCAAGGATGGATCTGGGGGTGTGGGGGTGTGGCTCAGTGGCAGAGCACTTGCCTACCATGTTTAAGGCCCTGAGTTTGATCTTCAACAACTCCCTGCCTCCCCCACCCCCCCCCCCCCCCTCTCTCTCTCTCTCTCACACACACACACACACACACACACACACACACACACACACACAGCAAACAAACACAAAAACATCAGAATGCTTTGGTTTGTGCTTCAAGGAACTTTCGGTCTTATGGGGAAGATGATGGAAATGGTCATGAGAGGTGATCAGGATCACCTAGCTCAATCTTCAGGCAGTAACGGGTGCAGAGGGGCTTCCCAGAGGAGATGAACACCACATGAGGTGTGAGAAAGGAATGAAGGCTGTCGACTGAGATTGGTATCAAAAGAAGGAACTGAAGGAATTTTGAGGAACTCAGTTTTGGAGATGTTTACTGCAGCACAAGTGGACATGTCTAATAGGTTGTTTGGATGCACAAAAAATGAGAGGAGGAGGAGGTAAGAGAGCTGGGCTCTGAACAGTTTTAAATCTGCACTCCTAATCTTTCACCAAATACTTAGTCAGTGTCTTCTCTTATCAATAACTTTGATATCATTGATGGTCAGAGATCGTTCTCATTTCTGTAGAAGCAACCAGGGGAACATAAGGGTTTCTAAGGCTTATTTTCTTTTTCTCTGACAAGCAGGCACTTGGCCTCCTTGTTCTCTTTGCTTCCAAGTCAAGAAGCACCAGGAGCTACTAACTTAGCTTTCCATTTATACTTGGGCAGGAAAAATAATAATAATAATAATGACCCTTTCTTTTTCTCAGGACTCCAAATGACAGTCTTTGTATATGAGAATTGCCTGGTTGGTGGAAGAGGAAACATTAAAATATTTTTTGGTGGGGCTGGGGATATAGCTCAGTTGGTATAGTGCTTGTGTCACATGCACAGGGCCCTGGATTCAATCCCCAGCACCAAAAAAAAAAAAAAATTTTTCCCCTTTTTAAAAAGTATCATGTTGGGCTGGGTTTGTGGCTCAGTGGTAGAGTGCTTGCCCAGCATGTGTGAGGCACTGGGGTTCGATTCTCAGCACCACATACCAATAGATAAATATTTAAAAATTCATCAACAACTAATAAAAAATATTTTTTAAAAAGTATCATCTACATGGAATGTACAAAACAATCCTCTTGAGAGGTTGAACTTTTAACATTCTAATGAGAATTACTTTCTGGTTTGTGTTTCAGGTTCACAATATTTGCCTAAATCTTTTCAGAGGACAACTGTGACTTCAAGAAAGAGATTCCAAGTGGCATCTTGATATTAATTCACCAGAACCATGGACTCACTGGAGCATCCAAAGCCTCAGCATGCCATTTTTCACTTGAAAAGTGGAAGAACAAGTATTATATTATTTATCTGTTTATCTGACAGTCTGCAATGTTAGGCTACCTGAGTGAAATGCAAATATAATAAGTAATTTCATTTGAACACCTCACATTCTAAAGAACATGGAAGTCAAAGTCACTAATCTTCTTTACTGGGAGCATTCCTGAGGTTCTTCAGGCTTTGCTCAGAAGATCTAATATGTGTTTCAATTCCATCATTCTATCAGTTACGCACACAGAGAGTGTGTGCCTATATGCACACTCGAATAATATATATGATATATATTATCTAGGTCTATGCCATTTTGTAACTTTGTATCTTAATTTTTTAAATCTCATTCTCTTAATAATTCCATCAAAATCCTAATCACTAATAGATATAACTTCCTTCTTTGAAAACTAGTAAAGTTGTGTTTGAGATAATCTGTCCCATTTGGAAAAGATTCTGATTATTCTAGTCACGGTGCTGACTTTGTTATATCTGTTTAAAAGTGCTTTAATCATGAGCTTCTTTGTGCATCGTCAGTGGCTAATTAATTTTAAGCCAACTGTGTGTTACTAGTTTTTATTTCAAAGGCAAGCCTTGCATTGAAAGTCCCCACATTTATACATTTTTAAAGCTGAATACAAAACATAATTAAAACTGGTTCCATATGTCTTCATCCTCATTATTTCAACTGAGTGTCCATGCACTGGAGAGAAAGCTTTGCAGCAGCATCGTCCTTATATTGTCACCATCTCATCTGTGCTCTAATGTCACCTCTGCAGTAAAGTCCCCACCCAGCCCATTTGCTTAAAGCAGCAGCTCCGTCCCCCCCTCCTCTCTTCCTGACCTGCTCTATCTTCCTCAGTGCATGTCTCCCTATCTGACAGTACTGCAGAAAATGGAGTGGGGAATGGAAAGGAGAAACGTCAATTGAAGGCAAAGCTGATTTATAGTGGCTTAAGTCCTTGTATTCTTCTCAGATCAGCATATTTTTTCTTTGCTATCAGATAATTATTGTACCTTATCAATCTGATTTTCATTAATCCAAGTTAAACTTTATACATAAATCTCGACCATGTCCAGTGTGATAAAGGGAATGGGTAAAGGTCAGGGGGATGGGCTGGCTGTGAAACAAAAGCTACAAAAGTAGTATATTAAGAAATAAAGACAATAAGGCAAGAATTATATAGTTTCAAAGCAGGGGCGTGTCGGGTTGAGCAGACATGATGAGTCTGATTCCTAACAATGAGATAAAAGCCAGCGCTTGCTTTATTTATAGAGGTACAGACCAAAGGGGATCCATAGGGATCTCCTTCCTTGGGGACAGGATAAGAGTAGAGATAAACAGGTTGCCCTAGGCAGGTTATGCCCATCTCTGGGCAGTGGTGTTTGATCCTAAGGCTGTGAGGTAAGGCAGGGTGCCGACATGATCTGGGATTTTTTGAACCCCGGGGATTTCACCTAGGAGTTTCCAAAAAAGCAGCTTCCCTGCTTTTTTGGAACAAACAAACCCATAATTTATATATAGCTCACAACACATAAACACATGTGTATCACATAAATGTGTGACAAATTATTTTCAAACATTTCTGCCTATGAGGGGTCAGGATCATTTTCTATTAGAGATGTTTGGAAATTAAAAAGCATGCTGAGGGGTTGGGGTAGAGCACTTGCCTTGCACGCATGAGGCACTGGGTTCAATCCTCAGCACCACATAAAAATAAACAAATCAAATAAAGATATTGTGTCTATTTAAAAAAAAAGCATGCTGAGACTAGAATTAGTGTTTTTGGTTTTGTTTTTTAAAATCACAGAATAACAAGTAAAAATGGGCCTAGAGTCTTGCCTCCATTTGATGATTTCTCCATTATATGCTCCACTCCATCTTCATAGCCAGGGAACATGTTAGGGAGTGGAAATGAGAAGGACCAGTATCTTTTTACCTCTTTTGGGGTGGCTAGTCTACGGAGCTCAACTCCCTAACTCAGTGAATATTGCTAATGCTTAGTTTCTCACACGAAGAAGACCAAAAGCATTTTGAAAATTTTCTAAATTACTCAACATTAGCTATGGAAACATTTAAGAGAAAACCCCAGTCTTGGTTCAGCAGTTGTCCAGCTTGAGTAATTTCTAGATGGGTGAGTGGTCTGGAACCCCTGTTTGCAGACTCCCTCATTAGTTGCTGTCCGGTCCCCCAGAGCTGCTAGAAGAGCTGTCCATTCTGCTCTCTCACAGCCATTCAGGCAACTTTATATTAATCTCTAGACACCATCCAACTGCTTCCCTATTCAGCCCAAATATCTTGCAAGGGAGATGGCAGACAGGCAGCCTACCTAACAAAGAGATTGAGCATCCAAGATAAATTCTTTTTTCCTAGAAAATCACTGAATCTCTTTATTATTTTATAATGGTAAAAAGTACTTTGAAAAATAGAACCAAATACAATGATAGTGAACTTTATCTTCTAAACATTTAGATTAGAAGATCAAGTGCTGTTAGAGACTACATAAGGACTTGGTTCTCTTATTGATTCTAAAAGTGCTATCCCATAGCAATTTTTTTCCACTTGTGTAAAAGATATTTTATTTATAGGCTAAATGAGATTGAAAGGTTAGTACATAATCCTTATATCAAGGATGGTGCTTTTAAACTAATAAAGTAAAAATTAGAGCAGCATTTCCACAACTACCTATTTTGCTAAAAGAATCTTAGAATTTTTCTGCTAAAAAAATTGAAAAGAGGCAAATTTAATTATTTCTGAGATCACCCAAAACCAAAGAAGGAATGGAGAAAATTTAAAATAATCTAGGAAAGTCTAAAATATCACAGAAAACTGTTAGATTTTATAAATTTAATATAAAAGGAAGTATTCATATATATTGTTCTGACCTAGAGTGGAATTTCTATACCATATTGAGATGTATGTTTCTATATATAAATCATTTCAGTATATTTTTTATTTTCATTGTTTTCTTATGACTATAGATCATTGTTCAGGATTTTTAATTCCTTAACTTTTAATAAAATATCAAAGTGTTGAAAGTTTTAAAAAATTCATTGCATTTGTAAAAGCACCTTTACACTCTCAATTTTTATATAATTTATACACCTATCTACTTTGCAATTTCTAATACACAGGCATTCATTCAATCATTTCTAACTACATAACAAGCCTTTCCCAGTGAATTCAAAATATATAAACATACACATCTGTGAAAGTTTACTTCATTTATAAATACTCCACTGTAATCTGTTTCAGAAGATGACATTTCTACTGATAATCATCATGAACTTATTGTTTCATAATATATTAATTCCTTTTTTGTGTAAAGTGTTCTCAGCATTGGACTGAATAAAAGTTTTGCTATAAAAGAATTTAGATTTTAGTAAAGGAGATATGCTATAAACAACATATAGAAACATACAATAAGGTCAGCTAGCAATAAATGCTATGGAGAAACAAAACAAGGCAATGTGACCAAGTACCACTTTAGCTGACATCTTCAGATATCTGCAGCTGGGGTTTGGAGAGGAGGTGTAGACTGGAGATGATATAAATTTGGGAATTGTTGCTTGCACAGGTGCTCCTAAACTTACAGTGGGGTTACATCCTGATAAAACTATCATAAATCCAAAATATCATAAGTCAAAAATGCATTTAATATACCTAACTTACCAAACAACATAGCTTATCCAAGCCTGTCTTAAATGTTCTCACAGTACTTACATTAGCCTTCAGTTGGGAAAAATCATCTAACACAAAGCCTCATTCATAATAACATATCGACCATCTCATGTAATTTTTTTGAATACTTGCATCCAAATAAAACCTGGTAATGCGTGCACTACACGTTAGAGTTATTGACTCTCATGACTGTGTGACTGGCTGGGCGCAGTAGCTTGCCATTCCCAGCATCACATGAGTATTCTGTAGCATATTGCAAGCCCAAGAAATATTCAAGATTTAAAGTTCAAATTCTGTTTTCTTTGGAATCAGTGTTGCTTTTGTATCATTATATAGTTGAAAAATTCTGTGTAGCCATCATAAGTCAGGAACTGTCTATACAGTCCATAGGTATGAAATGGATGAGATACATTATCAGTGTAGACAGACAGTGAGTGTAGAAAAGTAGGGTAGGAGGAACAGATTAATAAACTGTTCTGAGATTTGAGCATGTCAAATCTGCAGGTCTAGGATGTGAAGAAAAACCAGAAAAGTACACTGAGAATGAACGGCTGATGAAGGGAAGTCAAAATCAAGATAATGTGGAATCCTCAGAGTTAAATGGAGAGAAAAGTGTTACAAAGAAGGGACAAGACCTGAAATGCTGTTGATAAGTCAATTTATATAAAATGAAGAATTGACCAAAAGAGTTAGCCAGATGGAAGATGTAGGTAACCGCTAAAGTTTGAGTATGTCCCCCAAATTGATTGTTTTGGAAACCTTATCCCTAAAGTCATGTGTTAATGGTATTTGGAAGTGGAACCTTTGGGATGTAATTAGGATTAGATGAGGTCATGATGGCAGGGCCCCTATGGTGCAATTAGTGGCTTTTTTTAGAAGAGTCTTGAGCTAGCGCACTTACCCTATCTTGCCATGTGATGCCCTGTGCTACCTCAGGATTCTACAGTCCCCGCCATCAAGTAGATGCTCAAACTTGAACTTCCCAACACCCCAAACCATGAGTCAAATAAACCTTTATTATTTTTTAAAACATCTAATTGAATACTTTATTGATTTTAATGTGGTGCTGATGATCAAACCCAGTGCCTCGCAGGTACTAGGCAAGTGCTCTACTACTGAGCCACAACCCAAGGCCAAAACTTTATTCTTTATAAATTACCCAGTCTGTGGTATTTGGTTATAGCAAGAGAAAATGGGCTAAGACAATGACCTTTAAAGAAAACCTCTCTTCCTACTGAGGATCATAAAAATTGTAATGGCCA